AGATGGAGGAATAATTTCCAATAAAACATGTGAATGTCGTAAGACATTAATTGTGTGTGTTCTTAAAAAATCTTTCACATCATTTCCTTTAATTTTTCATACTAAGAAAATTGTGGGTTCGTCAGGGATGGAAATAAAAATGCCAACGGGGATGAGATTTCAAAGAAGAGATAAGAAAAGGCATGAAGGAAAAGCTTGGAATATAATTCACATGATGAAAATTAATTGTCTAAAGATGTGAATAATGTCTGAGATAATGGAGATATTAAACGAAGAATGGTAAAGTAATAGGTGATGAAAATATACCGTGGACTTTCCAGCAGGATTCTGCACCTGCTCACAAGGCACGAACTACCCAAGTCTGGCTTGGAACCAATGTTCCGGACTTTATAAGAGCTGAAGACTGGCTCTCATCCAGCCCAGACCTCAACCCTTTCGAGTTCTAATTATGGTCAGTTTTAGAGGACATGGCCTGCACGAATCGACACGGAGACATCAAGTCACTTAAAAACCTTTGGAACAAGCAGTAGCAAAATTTCCCTTAGGTTTCCAAGTGCGTAAATCCATACATTCGTGGCCAAACAGATTAAAGGCCTGTATAAAAACCAAAGGCTATTTCGAATACAATATTTTTTAATTTTTTGCTGAGACTTTAATAAATATGTAGGTATAATGTAATATTATTCTAACTTAATTTAAAAAAAGGGTGCGTGTACTTATGTACGCGCGTAAGAAGTTATACTTCTTTGGCATTATTAAAAATAGTTTTTGATTGCATGCAAATAATTAATTACAATTAAATATGTAATCAAAGACTAGAAAAGGAGTCATTATAGTCAATAAAGTCCAGTTTACATTTGAAAAATTAAATAAATAAATATTTATTATTATTCTCTTACATTAAGTGTAACATAAATTCTATTATTATTCGAATGTTGTTTTTAAATTATGTCCAATGCCGTAGCATCTTCCGTGGGCAACTTCATTCTATTAATATTGTGTCACGGTGCGCGCGCATCGTAAAATTTCACTCTCATCAATTTTTCATAACGCGCCTAAAGAAGTATAACTTCAAAAATGCATTTCAATTTGTAATATAACTTATGGCTGGGCTAGGTACAATCGACGGAATAATTGATATTAAACTAAACAATACAATTTTTTACGGCGCATGTAGTTTTACTGATATAAAAAAATATAATTTGTGAGAATTTAAAGACGAAAACGCTTAATTACGCATGTAAGAATAAAATATCATTAACGCTAAAAAAACAGTTCTTCATGTCGAAATTTGGACGTCATATCAAATTCATGTAAAAATATTGCACCAGGAAAAAATTTGTTTGAGTAAACAATATGAAAATGTGGCACATTTGTAAATCGCGCGAAATCGAATAATCGAACGATGTGTTTGTAGTCGGCGCCTGATTCGTCGTGTGACGACAAGATAGAGGATTGCGTTGCGAAACAACGGTTCGACAAGGGGCTTATGATAAAATCATTTTTCGACAGGCGTTCACAGTAAACGAATTTATATGACAAAAACATTCGTTTATATTCGTTTGGCATCACGCCTATCGAAAACTGTTGTCACAACACCTAAAAGTAAATTATTTAATCGATTCAGGGAGTGATTAAAATTTAAACCGGGATTAGGTAAAGAAGAATGAGGTTTAAATTAGATGGTTATTTGTTTAATATACTATACTATATCTATATATAGTGCATATAGCAATAGTGCTTGAGAGTGTTATGCTCTATTGTTTATTATCAGTTCAACTATTTTTATAAAATTCTTTAATATTTGATAAAGTAAATGCCAAGTTGGCGATATCAATTGTTTTGAAGATACAGATGAACCAGACTTATGTGCCAGATAAAGAAATAAAGGTAAAGGTCTTTCAATGGTGAGGCAAGATCTTGTGAATAAACGCTGTCCTATTGGAAGGAGGCCTAATTAGATGAATCTCGTTGTGAAAGATTCCTGCACAAAGCCGCTTAAAAATTAATGAGTGGTGGACCAAATATACTCAAATTCAAAATAACTTTGTTCATTTAGGTAAACAACAACACTTATGAACGTCAACAGCGAAGATGTTAAATTGATTTTTAATTTACATACAGTTCGCAAGAGCATAGAGCGGGCAATATACTTCATTTGTTACAGAATATACAATATGAATCCGCTAGAGCACCAGGAAGAGTTTATCAGTTTGCCTGAACTACTTTACCCGTTTTTTAAATGCTTTTTTAGAGAAGTAATTGTGTAGAATGGGATACTCATAGGTGATATAGTGATACCATCAAATACTAATGAGGATGGTTTTTATAAACTTCAGAGTTAAAACCATTTAGAAACACAGTTGCATACAAATACATTGCATATTCTTTAGCAGCTATTCTTATGCAATAAGATCCAAATGAGTATAAGTTTCATTCTGTATTATATGAAAAAGAAGTCCACCTGTACAAACTAAATATGAAGCTATGAGTTAAAATACTTGTGAAGTGGAATGAACAAATTAAATAGAATAGACCAGAAGATATAGAATTACACAATTTATAAAAAAAAACAAAAGAGTGTCGAGATGAGAAGACAGAGAATAGTTTATTAAAAATTAAGAAAAACATAGATGTTAGCGTAATAAGAAAAGAAAGCACAGTAGGAAATATGAAAAAGATTGGGTAGCACATTGATATACAAAAAACCCAAGATGCACAGTCTAGAATAAAAGTAACGCTCGAAAGTGTCCCGAAACACTATTTCTGTCCATAACAGAACCTTACGCGAATTGCTTAAAGTTGTTATTACAACGCAGTGTATACGTACTTAAAGCAATAAAATTTTACGACCGACCGTGGTCGGTAGGACAAGGTATTGAGTGGAGTCGAACATGACTTTTTTATTTACAACTATTTAACATAATTTTAAATTTATCCGACTTTTCGGGTGCTTTACAGCGTGAGTGGTCACGGTGACTGAAGACAAAAGGTGTTGGATGTTAAATAGTTGTAAATTTATAATAATACATAACTTTAATCCGTTTAAAAAGTTTTTTCTTTAAATTAAAAAAAAATGTTAAATTGGCTACCTCCTGACCCACACTTTATATAGCGTAAATATATTTGTCAAAAACTACACACAAAAAAGTTCAAGAGTACATAAATTTATTTATAAAAAAAACACAAATAAATAACATCGACTCCACTTACAGACGCGAGACTATTTGAAATGAGCGCACAATTTAGAATGTTGCGCTCATTTTTTGAGGACGTTTTTTTGACGTTGAGTGTGCATCTTGGGTTTTTTGTATATCAATGGGGTAGCACTTAAAATAACACAATTTGGCCCTAAATTAAAATATTTAGTTCTGGCCGTGTAAAAGTCGTGAAGACTGATATGTAAGCACAATGTTGATATGACTGACAGTGTTCTAATAGACCGGGAGATAGTGACACAAAATATTGGGTCCTTTGTAACAGTATGGTGGTTCTTCAGGGGTCTTATTACGCAATGGAAAAATGATGGTCATAGCGCTATCTCACAGTCTATAAGGGGCCCACAATAGATATAGTAGATGATGACCTATGCCAATTTATTAGAGTTTGTGTTTAATTTTTATATATACCTGTTTTTGCCAAAAGCCCTCTCCAAGTCCCGTAAGTTTTCTGTATTCAGTGACATCCGTATCTCGCCTATTTCCTTAATTTGATAATACCATTTTCTAAATTGTTTTGTCCTTTACCGTCATAAACGGTTCATAACGTTATTCTATGTTTCTTTCCCATGTGATCCCTTTTGTCTTTAATAATAATAATAATAAAGTCATTTAATCATTTAGGTACAATTTGTACTCTTATGCATGTCAACTCGGTTATCCTCATCTTACAGCGGCACTAGTGCCCACACATTGTCATCGTCTATAAATTCCCGAACAGTGTAATATCCTCCCTTTGTTAGGGTTTTCTTGATACAAAGCTTTAACTCATGAATCGGAAGTTTGGTTACACGGTCCGGACTCTTGTTAAATATGTGTATACATTTCCCCATAAATGAGTGAGCAGTTTTATGCAGTCTGAAAGCTGGAAAATCAAGTCTATTCCTACTTCTTGTATTTAAATTGTGACAGTCACTGCGCTTTATAAATTTATTAAGGTTTTTATAAACGTACATAATATTTTCATACACATATTGGGAGGCAACTGTTAAAATACCAATCTCTTTAAATAATTATCTTAGCGAGTCACGCGGTTTTAATTTGTATATAGCGCGTATTGCTCTTTTTTGTAAAACAAAAATATCTTGAATATCGGCCGCTTTAGTATACATGTTTCGTGACATCTGCCTTAGTAATGTTTAATGTATGTGTAAAGTAACTTTTACACCACTTCAGGGTATTAAATGGCAAGTACATTATGTACATAGTAAAGCGATTCAATATAAAAGCTCTTCAAACAGAATTTAAATGAGAAAACAGATTTCGTTTCATTACTCTACAAATTGTATTGCATAACGCCCTTGCAGTCAGCCAAATCACAAGTTTCGTATAACAGGTATTTTAAATGTGAATGGTAAAACGATATTATTACAAAAATAGAAATTTGTTTTTTCACAATAGATTGGCTCCAAATTGTCTGTTTGTTTATTTTTAAATACATTGTTACTTAAGGTACAATTTGAAAGATTTTGGAAAGGCCGTAACATTTCATGAAACTTAAAAAAAGGTTAAAAAATGAAACCTAAAAAAACCTTTAAAGATTTACTTTAAAGGTTTAAAATATTAAATTTGTTGTTTTTAACAATCCATCGTAAGAAAACAATAAATTGTAAATATGTATTTGTAAGCATTTTACTGAGGCAGACCACACCTTATCCATAAATTTATAAATAGACACGGGTTATTTTAGTAATAATTATTTTTCTAGAGAAATAATTAAAGCGTTTCTAAAATGTCTCGCGATTATTTTCAATGTTCAATGATTGCGTTCTTAAGTGTGTTTTATACCGCATGGTTATTTGATAACCTACACGCTGCAACTAAAGTGGGGCGGGAGAAATCAACACGGCTTTTATAATATATACGTAATATAAGTATCTTTTCAGCAGGGTCAGCGGTGGCAATGATAGGAGCCAACCTCCGGTTTGGGTCAGCAGGTGCCACCAACGCGTCCATAGTCAACAACACCAAATTGTGCCCACCAGGCGGAGCTGCAAGTGCTGCGGCACTTCTGGCATTGTCAAGCTTGGGCATGTCTGCGAATATAGCGCTCATGGCCGTTATTCTGAGCAAGAAACAGTTGAGAAGGTAGGATTATTTTATACAATAACTAGCTGACCCGGCAAACGTTGTTTTGCCATGTATATTATTTCTAGGAAACATTTTTTTAGTTCATTAAAAATAACTATCTACAATAGTTAAAAATAGGGGTTGATCGTAGAGGGGTGAATATTAGGGGTTGTATTTTTTTATCATAAAAAAATTAAAACAAAAAAAAATATCTAAAAAATAAAAATAATATTTTTGGGGTGGTCACCCCTTATCAATTAGGGATTTGAAAGATACATAGTAGCCGATTCTCAGACTTACTGAATATGCATAAAAAATTTCATAAGAATCGGTCAAGCCGTTTCGGAGGAGTATGGGAACGAACATTGTGACACGAGAATTTATATACAGTAAAATCTCTTTATTCGCGGGGTATACGTTCCATAAATATGCCGCGAATACAGAAACCGTGAATACAGAATGGTAATTTATATGGGTTTATAGGGGATACGTTACTAGATGCCAAAATAAAAAACACAAATATATAAGAAAATCACTTTTATTGATGTTATTGAACATTTTGATTATATAATCATTATCCTCAGGCTTAGGCAATGGTTTAAAGAATTTTGTTATTTATTCTTGCTTGGCAGTTTTTAATAGCTCCTTCAATTCAGACAATTCAGACTCAGCAGTCGCATTAGCAATTTGCCTCTTAAAATTAAGACTTCGTTCCATAGATGGATCAATGTTCATAAAAAAATCGCAAAGCTCATTTGCCATTCTTAAACCAAAGTCAAAGTTTGAACTTGCACGGATTCTTCGTCATTTTCCGCAGTCAGAGCAGGCCATAGTTTTTTTCCAGCATGACTTCAATGTGTGTGGTTTCAGTTCGTCCAATGATTATTTTATGTTTACGATGCATTTTGCTACGTCAAATTTCTTCCAGCATTCCATAACATTCATATTAGGATTATACTCCATATTATCTATATGATATTGCGTTAAACACCTATTGGAATATTGTTTGACATTTTAGATCCGCGAATAAAGAAATTTTTTGCCGCGAATTAAGAAATTGGGTTGCATTTTTTTAATCCGCGAATAGTGAAAACGCGAATAAAGGAAGCGCGAATAGGGAGCTTTTACTGTATTAGAATGAGGTAAAATGTATGTTTTTGGCATATGATGATGCTGCAACAATTATCTAAATAAATTCATTTATAATTTTGTCGTTTATGATTGCTAAAAACATGACTTTGATGTAATATACACATTATTAGTTTACCTTTGCAAAACCATACTATAATATGTAATGTGATAATATAAAATATACTATATCGAGCACGAAAACTGTTAGCATATCTTTTATATATACTCTCTGGATAAGTAAAGCGAAGACAAAATTTCTAAGCAAACAACAGTGCACGATCTTCGCTATCTTATTTAAGTGATACTTGCAGCTCAAGAGAAACTCTGGAGAAACTAAAAGATAAAATTTAATAAAAGTAAATATATTTAAGTAATCAAATCAACAAATCTATTAGATCAACTAATATTTTAGACAAGATTTCAGAGATGTCGTTTAAATACTTTATTAAAATAACATCTTAAAGATTCTTTTAGATCTATAATTTACTATTAAGATATATTTAATATATCTGTATTTGCTTATTTATTGTCTACATAGAACAGAATTTTTGTAATGTAATTCTGTGCATTCAAATACTAAGTACAATATAAATTGTTTTATACATTATTCAACATATATTATTATATTTTCGAGCCATAAATGCCACGTGAATTATAAGTCAATGTGTCTGGGTAAAGACAAAGGTTAATTAGCCTCACACTAATTACGTGAGGGCAAATATGGCACAAACAAACCAATATATCGTAACTGTTTCCACAGTTTACGAACCTGAGTCACTGACATTGAAGATGCGTAAACCGTAACAACTTTGAATTTCTCCATGTTTAGTTGTTTTTATATTCCAAACGAGGGAGCCGATGGCTGGCCATGCGTCATGCTCGTGAACGGGTGCTGCTTGTGGTGACTGGTCGTACTTGAATTCGTGTATGCGGTGATGTTGGTTATTTCGACTATGTGTTTGCGTGTTGTTCCCACGAGAATGTAAGTGCGTGCTCCTATTTCACCATGCCTCCTGCTGATGGAGGACAAATCTTTGTTTTTAATTTATGTTATTATTATTAATTACTTAAAATGTCACATGGGACATGGTGTAATGTTTGTAGCTCCTTACAAACAATTTGTAAAACAAAAAAAATGGCGATTAAAAAGAGTGGCGGAGAGTTTATTGCCAGTTCTTCTCTCCCGTTCTACGCCCTTGATTTGAGAACTGGCAGTAAATGTAAAATTAGAAGCATTAATATGTATTTCTTTACTGACATGTCATAAGTGTACATTATGTTACCTATGTGATTAAATGATTTTTTTACTTTTTAAACTTATTTTCAACTTTCCTTCACGATGTCTAGTAAAACTTGTCCTCTAGTGGAGGTTCCTCCTACTGATAGTCTAAAGCTCCCTTGAAAATGATATGAATAACATGAGATTTTTAAGTGAGAGTTTGAAATAGGTTGTGATTCTTGAACATTTAGTGCTTCCAAAAGCACTTTGCCACATGGTGTTATCAGATGAACATTCGTTTTCATTTCGCATCACTGTATTTCTATAGACACGTAACATATGGAAAATGGAAATTCAGACGTGGCGAATCACGCAGAGTCAGCGAATTCTGTTGGCTTTCGTATAATGTGCCAATGTCTTTTAATTGAATTTCTGATTGCTTCAGACATTCATACATTATAAGAGGTAAGGGAGAAATTACATTTCACACATAGAAACAAATATATGTTGATCTATATAGAATATGAACTTTGATATATCATCTATATGATTCTGACGTACAATTTGGTTTTTAGTTTAAGCTTAAATTATAATACTTAGGTTCATATTTCGTTCATAAATTGATTTCGAGTATAATCTTGTTTCAAGAGCTGTATTATCATTTATATTTTGAACATATTCGGGAATTCTCAAGACGATACCATCATCATCTTTAAAAAAAATTTAAACAGCTAGGAGGTGAGCCCTATGTTTAGTAACACTGTAGCCAACTGCAAGTGCGTTGCTGTCCTTTTAACAATTAGTTCGCGCTGTTCTTCGTTATGGACAAAAATGCAAAACAGTATCACACACACAGTTTAAACTAATAAGTTATTTGACGACAGTTATCACAATGAAATGCATCTAAGCCCCAATAAATAGCCAATAGATCACTTTATCTATAATATATTATACTTGATTTTATTATTGAATCATACTTCTATTCAGAATCCAATTAACGATACAGACTTATGCCGTTACAAAACAAGATTTATAGTAAATTTACCCGCAGCTGAGTTTAATCATAGGACGTCAAGGCAGAATACTAAATACCATCCGAATCACATCAACATCCGTCGTTCCACAACTGAGCGTTTCTTAACACAGTGTTTGCCACGCACCACTACAATGTGGTACCAAGAAAAGAGCGTACCAATTCTTAAACGGACACAGAACATCCTGTCCATGTTATATAAAAAAAACAAAAACAGATACATTAATAATCTATCCGTTTAAATAAAACCAACATCTAATCTAATCCAAATATGTTATAATAATAATAATAATAATAATAATCATTTATTTGCAAGAATATGGTATAAAAATCTTATGGTTGTACAATCTTAACTCCGCATATTCTGCCACATATAATGGCGTGCAAATTTATCTTACATAATTAACAATTAGAATTTTACTATATTACAATCAAACCTTATGTGATTTTATAATCACATTATTTGTTTTTTATATCCGGACAATCAGCCATATATAAATAGGCATGCAAATGTCATAAATTTTTGCTATGTCATATAATAAAAACATTAACATAATGTCATGATAATACGTCAAGCTATTTATAATCAATTGTTGTCAAACTTATAGGCCAAATATTCGCCTACGCTATAAAAGCACCTTGACTTTAGAAACCCAATCACCTTCCCCTTGAAAACATTACATGACAGCGATCTATAGCTTCTGGGAAGGTGATTAAATATTCTTATAGCCATGGCGTTACAATTTTTAGAATATAGCGCGGTGCAACATGCAGGCACCCGCAGCCGTGTTGGATCCCTCGGTATATATAAGCAAGTTTCATTGTATGTATTAAATAGTTTTGGATACTTCTTGACAGTCATAACTGCTTCCAAGATATACAAACTTGGTACTGTCAGAATACCGAGTTCGTGGAAAATTGGTCTACAGCTCATAAGAGGTCCAACGCCCATGATAGCCCTAATACATTTTTTCTGAGTAATAAAAACTTTACTCACATCTACTGAATTTCCCCATAAAAGGATACCATAGCGCAAAACTGAGGCAACATAGCCGTGATAAGCAATAATTGCTGCGTGTTTTGAAGCTACTTTGCGAGTTCGACTCAAAGCAAAGACAAATTTATTAAGGTGCGTGCATATCGTTAAAATATGTTGTTTCCAATTAAGATTTTGGTCTAGTGTTATGCCTAGAAACTTGGTTGATACAACTTCTTCAATTGACTTGTTTTTATAATTGATTTTGAGGTTATTAGGTCTGCAATTATTATAGTTCCGAAATTGTATAAAATTGTTTTTTTTTACATTTACACTTAAATTATTAATTTCCAACCATTCCGTGACATTCTTTATTGTTTCATTCAATAATGATTATGTAGTTATAATGAGACAATTGATAATTATTTTCATGAATGATATATTTTATTTTAGTAATCGGATTTTCTCTAAGTAAGCTTTTGAAGGTTCGGTACATTACAATAATTTAATATTGGAAATTGAGTCAAGCATCTCCTTGGAGATACGACGAGTCGTTCCGAAATTGAATTCCATGTACGTGACCGATAGTTAATTTGAAATATTGGGACTAATTTTGACTTCAATGA